CAGGATGGGGCCCTGCTGTGAGGATGGAGTGGGCACTCTGGGAGGACGGATGGTTTCCTTGATGAAGTGTTCCCCAGGGCCATTGCTACCTGGGTTGGGGTGCCAAGGCAGTGACCCTTGCTCTGCTCTCCCACAGCTGCTCCTGACCAATGCCAGCAGGACCACCTCCACCTGGAAGGATTTCCGGAGGAAGCTGCGGCTACTGGTGCCATACATGTGGCCCAGAGGCAACCACCTGCTGCAGGGGCTGGTGTTGTTCTGCATGGCGCTCATGGGACTGGAGCGGGCGATCAATGTCTTCGTCCCTATCTACTACAAGAACATTGGTGAGACACCTGGAGCTCAGCATGTGAGGCTGCTCATGGCCTCACCAAGTGCTGGGAGGTGTGCTGCAGGGGGCTGGTAGGAGCAGAATCTAGGGTGTCAGGGACCAGCACTAAGTGCTGGGGCTTGTTCCCATGGGCACCCAATAATGCTTCCTGCCCCTCCATCCTCACCCTTGCCTCCCTCTCCTCAGTGAATGAGCTGACGGTGGGCGCTCCCTGGCACACCCTGGCCTGGACTGTCTGCAGCTACGTGGGGCTGAAATTCCTGCAGGGTGGAGGTGCTGGTAAGGACCACTGGGAAGGACAGGGCACTGGGGAGAGACAGGGTGGGGAACGTCTTGCCAGGGCTGGAGTGGCCAGGGATGCCCTTATCCCCCATAACTGCTGTTCTCTCTTGGAAGCAGCAACCAGTGCTGATCCTGGGCTGGGGACAGCAGGTGGACCTCATCCCAAATCCCCCTTTCCCAGCTGGGCTTTCTGAATCTTGCTTCATGCCCCAGGGGGGCTGATCCCGGTTGACCTTTTCATGTTGCCCTGCAGGCTCCACTGGCTTCGTGAGCAACCTGCGCACCTTCCTGTGGGTGTGGGTGCAGCAGTTCACCAACCGGCAGGTGCAGGTGCAGCTCTTTGCCCACCTGCATGGGTTGTCCCTGCGCTGGCACCTGGGGCGTCGCACTGGCGAGGTCCTGCGCAGCGTGGACCGGGGCACCAGCAGCATCGACAGCTTGCTCAGGTCAGAGCGTGCCTGTGGCAGGTGGGGGGTGGCCAAGCAGCCCCACCGGGCCAGGCTGATGCGCCATCCCCCTTCCCTCCCTCAGCTACATCGTGTTCAGCATTGTCCCCACCATTGCGGACATTGTCATCGGCATAGTTTACTTCACCTCGGTCTTCAGCGCCTGGTTTGGCCTCATCATCTTCGTGTGCATGAGCCTGTATCTGAGTGAGTGGGGGGTCAGGATGCAGGGCTTCCAGGCTGTGGGGTGACAGGAACTTGCCAATGCAGCTCCCTCCTGCCCACAGCTCTGACCATCTTCATCACTGAGTGGAGGACCAAGTACCGGCGGGAGATGAACACGTGGGACAATGATGCCAAGTCGCGGGCTGTGGACTCGCTCCTCAATTTTGAGACGGTACTGTAGGCATTGGAGGAGTCACTGAGCACTGCTTGGTGCTCAGACCATTTGGGTGCTGACCCCTGGTCTGTCTCCTGCAGGTGAAGTACTACAATGCAGAGAGCTATGAGGTGAACCGCTTTAATGATGCCATCGTCAAGTACCAGGTATGGGGTGCTCAGCACCAGTGGGGGAGTTGAAGGGGAAGGAGCTGAGCCTCACAGTCACCTGCAGGGAAGATGAAGCTCACCATGGGTCTGCTTTGGACACAGCAGCATCCCACAGGACTTTGCCTCTTCCAGGTCTCGGAGTGGAAGGTCAGTGCCTCGCTGGGCCTCCTCAACCAGACCCAGAACATAATCATTGGTCTGGGGCTGCTGGCAGGGTCCCTGCTCTGTGCCTACTTTGTCACCGAAAACAAGCTGCAGGTAAGGCTTGTGCCAGCCTGGGCAGCCTCCTGCTGAGCTGGGGCTCTGGGTCTGGTGGTGATGGACCCCTATACCGCGTCCTTTCCAGGTGGGGGACTTTGTCCTCTTTGGCACCTACATCATCCAGCTCTACACGCCACTCAACTGGTTTGGGACTTACTACAGGTAACACAGAGCTGTGGAGGTGCCTGGGGTCCTCCTTTCCATGGGTGACTGGTTCTAGATGTGCTCCTCCAAACCCTTCTCTCTGGTCTTCGCCCCCCTTCCAGGGTGATCCAGAAGTCCTTCGTGGACATGGAAAACATGTTTGAGCTCTTCTGCGAGGAGCAGGAGGTAGGTGCTGCCTTTCCTGGACCCCATTCCCTGGGTTGCCCCGTGGTCGTGCCCTGGGGACAGGCTAGCTCTGAGGCCACATCTCTCCTCTGGCAGGTGAAGGATGTGGTGAATGCTGATGACCTGCACTTGGAGGCTGGGCAGATCGAGTTTGAGAATGTGCACTTCAGCTATATGGATGGGTATGGGGTGGTGGGTGCAGGGTGGAACAATGAGCTATGGGACCTGACATATGGGGATATGGGGACGTGGAGTGGCCCTGAGCCCCTCTCAATCTCCCTCTTCCAGGAGAGAAATCCTGCATGACATCTCCTTCTCTGTGATGCCTGGGCAGACTCTGGCTCTGGTAAGAGTAGGAGCTTGGGTGTGGGTTCACTGCGGGAGGGTGGGATGGAGGAAGAGGGGCTGGAAAATACGAGGGTGGGAAGGACAGACCCCCAACAGGGCCAACTCTTCCCTGCCCAGCTCTACTGGCAGCTGGGAGACTGGCATCTCCAAGTCCCTTTACCTTTGCCTGCAGGTGGGACCTTCGGGCTCAGGGAAGAGCACCATCATCCGCCTGCTCTTCCGCTTCTACGACGTGCAAGGTGGCTGCATCCGCATCGATGGGCAGGACATATCCCAGGTAAGGGTGGGAGGCCTGCAGGGACCCGGAGGGGGGACACACCAGCTCCTCTGGGCCGCACAGCGCTACTTGGTGCAGGCACTAGCACCCCCCAGGGGCAGGGATGAGCACACATGGCCCCTTTGCAGGCTGATGGCTATGCCAGGAGTGGGGTCAATGGCATGACTGCGGGACCCCTGGGCTGAAATGCTGGAGACTGGCCAGGGCTCCCTGGGAAGGGCCAGGCCACTGTCAGGGTGCTCCACCACAGGGTGGAGATTCAGCTGAGCCTGTGGTGCACAGGATCCTACAGCACACACCCTGCAAAGAGTGGGGGTCATAGCAGAGGGGCAGGATTGGGTTTTTTGGGGGGGGGTGTCTTTGCAAGGGTTTTGCATCTGCCTGAGCCCTCTCCCCCTGCCTCCCCAGGTGAAACAGGCATCGCTGCGTGCTCACATTGGGGTGGTGCCCCAGGACACAGTGCTCTTCAATGACACCATCGCCAACAACATCCGCTATGGACGGATCCTGGCCACTGACCAGGAGGTGCAGGAGGCAGCCCGGGCTGCTGATATCCACGACCGCATCCTTTCCTTTCCTGATGGTGAGACAGTTGCAGTCCCCTCCTGATCTTCCCCTGCGATCCCAGGGTTCCTCATGACCTTCTAGCTGCGCTCACAGGTGTCCTTAGGTGACATGGCCCATGGGGACACTTGCGTGACCCTGTGCCTTGCTTTGCCTCGCCCTGCCTGCTCTCCAGGGCTTAGATCAGCTCCTGGTTAGGGATGGGCAGAGGCTGTGCCAGGTGATTGTGTGGTCCCAGCAGGATCTCCCTGGGCAACAGAGCCTGGTCCCCATCCCCATCTCGGAGGGCACCAGCACAGTATGTTCCCGCCCTTGTGCCTGTAGGATACAACACGCAAGTCGGGGAGCGGGGGCTGAAGCTGAGTGGGGGTGAGAAGCAGCGTGTTGCCATCGCACGCACCATCCTGAAGGGCCCCCGCATCATCCTGCTGGATGAGGTAATGGCAAGGGCCTCCTCCCGCTCTGCAGCAGCCCCACCCTCAGCGGCTGCCTGCACTGCCTCCATCCTTTCCCCACACCTTGCCTCTCCCACAGGCCACATCCGCACTCGACACAGAGACTGAGAGACACATCCAGGCCTCACTGGCCAAGGTCTGCACCCACCGCACCACCATCGTTGTTGCACATAGGTAGGGATGAGAAGAAAGGGCTGATCCAGGGGGTGCTGAGCATTCTGAGCTGGCCAGCCCCTCCCAGAGGGGCACATAGACCTGTCCCCTGCTCAGGGGGTGACAGTTCCTGGGATTGCATCTCCTTACACTATCCAAACCCCACTCCCACACCTCTCCCCTCAGAGTCAGGATAACACCTGCCTTTCCCTGCAGGCTCTCCACCGTGGTGGGTGCAGACCAGATCCTGGTGCTCAAGGATGGGTGCATCGTGGAGCGAGGGAGGTGAGCATGGAGAGGGGCTGGGTACTGTCTGCCCATGGGGATCCACTCCCTGGTTCTGAGGCCAGCTCAGGACCCTGAACCCCTCTGCTCTCCCCACAGGCATGAGGAACTGCTGCAGAAGGGTGGCGTGTATGCTGGCATGTGGCTACAGCAGCAAGCTGGGGATGAGGAAGAGAACAAGGAACACCACACTGAGAAGCCCTAGGGCAGCAAGAAGGGGTCGTGAGCATGACTGGCGTCTCTGCTGTGACACTGACTCGGGGCCAGGCCCCCACACTGACAGGGAGCCCTTTGCTGGCTGTGGGCTGGAGCCCGGTCCGTCCTGGAGCTGCAGGGGCTTGGTTGGACACTCCACTATATTTGTACCTGTTTGTTTTGCTGTTGTACAATTTCTTAAACCAGGTCCTTCTCAGCTCCTCGTCTGTGTATTCTGAGCAGGGTACATGCCTCGGGGCAAGGGCAGGCAGGGTTAGTGCCTGTGCCCTCGGGTCAACCAGCAGCTCTCTGCCACAGGTTGAGCTCCATGGGCTTAGGCAGGCAAGGGGCCCCACACAAAGGGCCCCACACAAAAGGCTGAGCTTGGCAGGGGACTGCACCCCAACAGGAAAGGAAGAAGCAGGGCAGTTGGTGCCCCCTCACCGCCATGTGCCCCCCCTTGCACTCCCATCTGCAGAGATGTGCCCCTCTGGGCCAGATACCAAGTGACCACTCCCCCTAAGTGCCTCTGCATCTTGTGCTATGCTTTTATTTTCTCCCAAGCAGCACTTTGACAAGTCTCAATGTTCCCTCAGCCCAGCCAGATGCCCCCTCCCTCAGCTGGACATGGCTCAGAGCAGGACAGCCCAGTCCTGTGCAGAACCAGGCATAGCCCTGCAGGCCAGAATGGTTCCAGCAGCAGGAGGAAAAGCAGCACCACCCTGCACAGCAGCAGACCCCCTGCCAGAGGCCAATGGGACAAATCCCCCCAACCCACCCATCAGCTCCAGCCTTCAAACACCAGCAAGGAAGAGCTGGCTCAAGGCTCAGGGCTCTGTTTCTAAGAAGGGGTTCTGTGCCGCTGCTACCCCAAAGGGGATTCCCTGCAGCATGGCTGGAAAGAGGGAGGCATTCTTGCCCCAGCAGCACTAAAAAGGGGCCCTGGGGTAGGTTAGGGCAGCAGAGAGCAGCCAGCAGCAGGAAGGCAGCTGCAGCCCTCCCATGCGAGCCATGCTGGCACAGTCAACTCACCGCCAAGGTTACGTTTCAGTTAATGGCCCTTGTTATATTAAACCAGAAAGGAAACAGCTCCATTCAGTCTCAGAGAGGTCCTGTGCCCCAGCCAAACAGGGTAAGGCCCAACGTGCTCTTGTGCATGCAAACAGCAGGGAGGCACCGAGGGTGTGGGGAGCAGGGAAGGGGCTGTCTTCACACTGCCGGGAGGCTGCACATTCAGCCATGCTGTGTCCAGGCAAAAGACCATCCCAGCCACGGTTGTTCTTTGCTGAGGGGCTGGCAGGGCCCTCCCCAGAGCATGAAATCCAACCCCCTCCTACTGCAGTGGGCAGCTGCATCCCAGCAGCTGTATGTCCAAGCATGCGGAGATGTCCCCATGTGGCTCTGCCCTCACGCCACAGTCCCACCAGTGTTGTGACATGGCTGTGGCAGCTGTGGGTAAGTGCAGGCCCTGGGCTGCTGCCTGCTTTGGTCAGTGTGTGCTCAGCCTCGTCCTGCACCGTCTTCATCTCCCCAGGAGCATCAGTGATTTGCTGCACTAATTTTATACAGGTGCTGGGCCGAGGTTCCAGTGTGTGTTCGGTGGCTTACAGCTCCCAGAGAGACAAGCTGTCCCTGGTGAAGGGCTCTTGTCACCAGTGCCCAGGCCAGAACCCCACAGCATCCATGTGGGAGGCTAGAGCCACTCCTTGGGTCACAAGCAGGATCTCATGTCTGCTGGCACACCCTGCCTCTGCTGCCTATGACATGCTGCAGTTCAATGGCTTTGAACTGTGTGCCTGAAATGGGAAGAAGCACAGAGTGAGCAAGAGAAGACAGGCTTTCTCCTCTGTCCTACAATGGGGCATATCCAGTGCTCAAGTCCCTAGGGCTGTGTGCTCAGCAGTGATGCTGCCACTGCCCCAGGCCCAGGCTGCCCTTCTGGTGAAGAAAGCCAGTCTAGACAGAGTGCAGAGGAAGCAGAACACAGGGAAGCTCCCTCCATGACATAGCTAGGCAGGATCAACCCCACGACAGTGCAGAGCCTATAGCCAGCTTCACTCACCTGCCGCTGCGACTGCTGGTACTCAGCTTCACTCGCTGACAGCGCCTGGGCCAGTGCCAGATCCTCCTCCTCCTGCGTGCTGCTGGGACAACACTGCATTATGTGCCTCAGCCTCCCCCAGGCTCAGGGGACCAGTGCTCAGAGCCCTTTGGAGTGGCAGCATCTCACTGCAACTCTCCAGTACAGATAAGGGTGGGGAGCAACTGAGGATCACCCTAAAGAAGCCAGGGGCTGGGGAAGGAGCAGAGGATCCAGCTGGGGCTGGCAGCCACCATTCTGGGCCAAGGAGAGCCATGTTAACTCCAGTCTGTAAGACAGTGCTTTTAGCACCATTGGGTGCTGTGCCTGAGGACGTGAGCTCCTGGATGTCCTCTGTGAGCAACCCTACTCTGCTTCTGTCATGCTCACCCTATTCTCTGTGTCAGTCACCATCCCCTCCCAGCTCCCCCAAAGGCTGAGGGCTTGCTTGCTGAACAGAGCTCCCTGATGGCTCTAGACTATTCCTTTTTTCCCCTGTCAGCCACAGAGAGGCATCATATGGAGACACGTGCTGAGAGAAATATCCCAGAGTCACATGATGCTTCCCCAGGCACCTCTCACACACAGGCTGGGCGCATGACACACCACGTGTTTTGGGGTTGTACCTGGGTGGCTGCACTGAGCTGTCTGCTGACTCTGCCAGGGACATCTCCAGAGCTCGCTGCAGTGCCTCTTCCTCGCTCTGAAACAAAACACCTTGTCACCAGCTTAGCCAGGGTGGGGGGCAGGAGGCAGCCCTAAGGGACATGTGGCAGGTACAGTCTTGACTTGCCAAGGGTAGGTGAATCTCCTCTCTCCAGGAGGCCAGACACAGCCAAGGTGAAGGTCTGGGGCTCAGGACAGACCTGCAGTGCTCTCCCCCTGTCCAAGGGAACACACCCCTGTCTGCTAATACAAGAGTATGCCAAGAATACCAGTGGGAAGCAGCTTCCAGTCTCCTCCTCCACCCTTGGCTTGCAGAACAGAAACACAACACCTGGGGAAAATGGCTGGTGCGCTTTATCCCTTTGGAGAAAACTGAGCACCAAGGGCAGCATAGCTGCAAGCTCTGATTTCCCACAGAGCATCCAGGGTCCCTGTTTGCCAGGGAAGGCCCAGCTAGGACCACATAGTCTCCTACAGAATGTGGGTTAGAAAGCAGTTGTTGCAGTCACTTCCCAGGTCACAGGAACCACCCAAACCCACCCCAAATGCCCAGGCCAAGCCACTCACCAGCCCGTTCAGCAGCATGGCAGCTGGAGGGGAGGTGCTACGACTCTGCAACACAGCTGCTCTGCCTCCTCTGCAAACAGGAAAGAAGCTGGGTTATTGTCAAGGCAGGGAGGCCTGGTACAAATACTGAGTTCTGCTGATGCACAAGAAGCTGTCACTCTGGCGTTCCATGGGAAGCCAAGCAGAGCCTGGTCATCCCCACCTCAGAATTACAAGTTGGGCCATCACTTTACCTGGCAGAGGCTGGAGAAGAGGAGCTGTCTGCTGGTCGGGCAGCTCCGCTGCTTGATGCAGTGGCTATTTTGGAGGAGGATGCCTGGGCTCTCGTAACTGCAGCGTGCCTAGGACAGACAGGACGCCTGTGAGCAACTGTTTTACCATCACAAGCTGTTACGGGGCACTGAACACCCCGGGAGATGAAGGTGGGTAAGCAAGAGGCCTCCTTGGCTCCCCACCCCCCTTCCTCCCAAGAGTACCCATGTTGTGGCTCAGTTATTGCCAAGAGTTTCAAGTGCCGTTTCTCTACCTGAAACTGTGTACCAGGATAGGCAGAAGCCATTAGCTCCAGAATGAGATGGGCAAAGAAGCAAGTGCAAAGCAGTCAGTGGGCAGTATCAGCAGCTTTTGCTACAGGAGACTGTACACATATCTCTGCTTGGTGCTGCTGGAGGACACCCAGACACACCACGCAGGGAGTGTGAGAATGCAGCAGTCCCAGACAACAGGCCAGGAGGAGCGGGGCTCTCTCTTATCACCCATCTGGCAAGCACAGACCCATCTGTGCCAGCCTGTCTGTCCCCAGGCCCTCACCCTGCTTTGGAGAGGGGACGCCCTGCCCCGCTGCAGTCATGGTCCAGGGGGTGCCGGTGCTTGAGGCAGTAATTCTTGTGGCACTGGTCACAGATCACCTTCATCATCTCCTTCTGCTTGCAGCCAGGTTTCAAACACTTGTTGGTGAAGATCTGAAAAATGACACAGCAGTGGTGAAAAGGAGCACGGCGCTGCAGGTCTAGGGTTGTCCCCTCCCTCCATGCCAGGCCCTGGGCATTGACCAGCTTTTCCCATCAGTGTGTTATCTGCAGGGCTCTAGAGTTTGTCTCTGAATACCAGCTTTCTTTAGATAGTTTATTAGTAATTCACTGGTGCTTTGGTCTCCATAGATGAGAATTTCCACAACCACAGAATGCAGAGCAGGAGAAAGCACGCCTCACCCAGGGACTCCTGCCTTCCATGCCAGTGCAGTGGGGACAGTCCAGAGCCCTTAGCTGTTGCTGGGCTGGATTCCTGCAGGGCCAGCTCCCTGCAGCAATTTCATCTCCTGGCAAGATGAGGCAGCTAATTGCTGACTGCATTTTCTTAATGGCAGCATGCAGTTTCCCATCCTCACATCCCAGGTGGCTGCACAGCCCTGCTCTGTCCCAGGCCTCAGACTGCATTCACAAAGCCCCATGGATGCTCACACCTCCAGCTCACCAACCGTCCTTGCCTTCAGCTTGTGCCAACATGGAAAGCACTGGGCAGGGGCAAATCTGTGTTGTTTTCATCCCATTCCCAGGTTTTGTCAGGGACCCAGCAGAGCTCAGCAGCCACGCAGAGAGCATCAGGTTCATACCTTGCGCTTGCGCTGTGCGGGATCGGATTTGCAGTCACGGTCAATGTGCTCACCCACCACAACATCAGGCATCTCCCCCCGCCTCACGGGGACTGGGGTGTTGCAGAGCGGACACACTGGGACCTGCACATCCTGCAGAGATAACAAAAAGGGGCTGGGAGCAGGTAGCTGGGCAACCTTGAGTGCTGTGCAGCCATCTCCCTCCCTTTCTGGACCTGCCTATCACAGCTTCTACAGCATCAGCTGCAGTTTGAGATTCTGCTCACAACCCTCCAACCAGCTTGCACAGCTGGTGCACAGGCATGGATACACATTCCGGGAAGGGAAGACAGTATGGCTGGGAGATGCCCAAACCATTTCACCCAGTGGCAGAGGGAGGGCTGGATGTTTGTGGCATTGAGATGCACATCCTGCTTTCAGGGGCACCTTCAGACTCAGCACATATCCCAAGGGGGATTGCCCAAGTGATCAAAGAAATCACAGATTATTCTGACCCCTGGCTGGAAAAACTCAGCAGCTCCATGCAGGAGGGTGGATGAGGTCTCCTCTCTGCACTTACCTTCTTGTAGGCAGAGGTGCAGTCATGCTGGGCATAAGCAATGTGGTCGGTGCAGAAGATCTGCTCGCAGGCATCGCACTTCAGGGGGAGGAAGTCTGGGAGCGGGGAGATGCCGCGGGCAGAGAGCACGGAGGTCAGCACTGCCCACCTGCAGCCCGGGGGCCTCCCCCACTTCCCGAGGGCACAACCCTGACCCGCGGCAAAGCCAGGGCCGTACTTCTCATCCCCCAGCACGGAAGCAAAAGATCTGCAGCTCCATAGCCACGTCTTAGAATTACCCAGGGCTCCTCCTTAAAACGTGCCCTCCCCGGGATCAGGAGTAGCACCCGGAACCACACCGAGCTCCCCATGGGCTGCTGGCCTCAAGCCGGCGGCGACCGATGCCGCCACAGCCACCACGGGATTCGCCCATCGGGATAATCGGAAGACGAACAGGCCCCAGCGGCCCCTCGGCACCGCCGTCCCCAGCCTGCGGCACCGAGGGCCCTTCCCTGCTGTCCCCGGCCCAGAGCCGCTGCCCGCCGGGGCAGAGCCGTGTCCCCG